ATTTTTTATGTATATTTTACAAGTCTAAGTGTCATCTTAATTGAAGATGTATTTTATATATANTATCGAAGTGAGATCTTTATGTTAAGAAAGAAAGAAAAAGGAAGAGAAAAAATTAAGAAAGATAATTAAAAAAAAACGAATGGAACAAATTTAGAAAATATATTGGCTTCGGCAGAAAACAAAATTAAGAAGATGAAGAAAAAAGTAAAGCTAATAGATAAAGAGAAAAAAGGCATGATTTTTATACAAAGAATTATTGGCTTTCCATTCAAATTGCTTATGTTTGAAGATTAACAATTAATATTCCTATTTTAATAAAACTCTGTGCTACAAATATAAATATTTTCCTACCACAAATGTAATATTAAGTTTCATGCTAAGAATTTGTTATATTTCTTTTAAACTGTGATAGTTATGTAAAGTTACGAGATATAGATCGCCCAAGATTTATAGTTTCTTGTGCTGGAAACTTAAAGTTTTTTATACAAATAGCCGGACAGATTCACTGTTTACTTTCTCTAGCCGATATACATAGATTTTATATTGATTATACATATTATGCATATATTATACATGAATTACATATATATTATACATCCGCCATATATTTTTAGTTTAAGAGATTAGGTGGACGGCTATTTGAGTTAATTCTTCGAACTTAATAGAAGCTTCTAAAGAACTCCATTTTAAGTGATGTTTATGATGGTGGAACAGACTAACTTGAAGCCCATCAAACATCCAAATTGTTGATGGGCCCTCGTGAGATCCAACATCGAAAGGCTAATGGATCCCTCAGTAGCAAAAATTTGTAAAAATTACACGGGCGTTCTATTTGGTCGCCCCCATTTAACATATACCCATATTTTTAAAATTATTTAACCTATACCCTAATTTTAACAACTTCAAACGCCTCATCTTCTTCCTCCTGGCCTATGCGCTCCTTTCTTCCTCCTCTTCTTGTCTATCAAATTAACTTTTCAACCACATCTTTAATATATTCACTAATAAAATGTGAAGTCAAATTAACAACTTAACCTACATTTGATCAAATACTGTCATAAAATGACAAAATAGATTATTGTTATTGTTCTCTATTTTAATTCAGAAACCCTGTGCATCGAGATAAAACGTGGGTTTCTGTAAATTTTACAATCCTTTATTTTGCAAGCTCAAGATACAAATCCAAATGCATCTAGAGTGCAATAGATACTTTATAGTTCATCTTGTTATGTGTTTATCTCATACTGAATATACATAGGTTCCAAATCTAGTATGAAGAACATAAAGAATTCCCCGTGAGGTAAAGCCCGATGTGATGCCAAACCAACTCTTAGTTACACTGAAAAGTTAATTTGTCTTGAAGTTTGCACTACAAATTGAAGAACTTCAGACTAATTTGTCTGGAGTTTATACTATGAAGTGAGGGAAAACTGAAGTTTGCTCTTGCACTATGAACTGAAGTTCCTGAAGTTTGCACTACAAATTGAAAAATTTCAGACTAATTTGTCTGAAGTTTGCACTATGAAGTGAGGGAAAACTGAAGTTTGCCCTTGCACTATGAACTGAAGTTCCTGAAGTTTGCACTACAAACTGAAGAACTTCAGACTAATTTGTTTGAAGTTTGCACTATGAAGTGAGGGGAAACTAAAGTTTGTCCTTGCACTATGAACTGAAGTTCCTGAAGTTTGCACTATAAATTGAAGACTTCAGACTAATTTGTCTGAAGTTTGCACTATGAAGTGAGGGGAAACTAAAGTTTTTCCTTGCACTATGAACTGAAGTTTGTGTGATTGCCTTTGCAAGTTGGGCCAAACTTCAAGCAAAAATATCTCAAGTTTTGCTTTGACAAGGCTACACTTCAGACAAAAAATTATGAAGTTCAAACTTCAGACATAAATTTTTACTACTTCAGGCACGTATGCCTGAAGTTACCCGAAAAGTGGGTACGCTTGCAATTTTATTTGCAAAGTGGGTATATGTTAAAATATGACCCAAAAAACTGGGTATAAATGCAAATCCCCCCAAAAATCTTAGGGAACTAACTATCACAGTTAAAAAAAAATATAACAAATTCTTAGCATGAAACTCAATATTACAGCCGTGGCAGGAAAATATTTATATTTGTAGCACACAGTTTCATTAAAATAGGAATATTAACTATTAATCCTTAAACATAAGCAATTTGAATGGAAAGTCAATAATTCTTTATACAAAAATCATGCCTTTTTTTTTTCTCTTTATCTATTAGCTTTCCTTATTTTTCTTCATCTTCTTAATTTTATTTTCTATCGAAGCCAATATATTTTCTAAATTTGTTCTATTCGTTTTCTTTTTAATTATCTTTCTTAAGTTTTTTCTCTTTCTTCTTTCTTCCGTTTTTAACATAAAGATCTTACTTTGATAATAATATATGTTAATATATACAAAACGTATATATAAAAAATATACATTAAATTAATACATATAAAATATATAAAAATATACATAACAAATACATCTTCAATTAAGATGACACTTAGACATGTGAGATATACATAAAAAAAAATATCTTAAATTTAATTAAGATCACATATAAATATACATAAAAATACATCATGAATTTAAATGGCACTTGACATGTAAAATATATTTGAAATATACATTAAAAATACATCTCAAAATAAGATGGCACTTTACAAATAAATATACAAAAATTATATACATAAAAATACATTTTGAATTAAAGTAATACTTGATATACAAAGTATAAAAGACGTATAAATCAATACATCTTGAATTTATGTGACATTCACATATGCATTAGATTTTCAAAAATGGAGTGAAGAAGATGAATGTTGGAAAGAGAGAATGGAGATGGACAAAAAAAGTACTTCATGTGATCAGTGGGTCAGTTTACTTATTAAATGTTGAGCTTAATTTCTATAATATGCTAATAATGAAAAAGTGCTCTTTATGTAATAAACAATAAATGATGCTATTTTTTAAAATTATAGTTAAAAAAAGGATCAAGCGTGTAAAAACCCCTTACATAAATAACTAGCTGGATTTATTATTTATTTTTCTAGTCGATATGCACATTATATATATATATATATATATATATNTTAGGTTAATTCTTCGATCTATATGAAGGTCTCAAGATTGCTACACAAACCATTTAACCGTGGTTTTGACTTTTGACGTTAGTTTTTATTCTTGAACTTCAAATTTAGGTTTCAGTCTTCTTCTGAATAACAGAGGTACAAGCTATATATGCAGAAAAATGACATAATTGATATAGAACATCCACTTGTAAAATGAGTAATAAGTTATTTCATAAAACAACAAATCAACCAAATAACCTAGAAGAACATATGCAAAGATAGTTGAGCATTAACCTATATAAGAAGCATACTATCTCTCATCCCAAATTATGTAACGCTTTGCTTTTAGAAAATTTTGCACAAGATAGACTTGAAGAGTATATAAACCCATATTGAGTGTCGCTTGTAATTATCATAATTAAATATATATATAGAACAATGGAGTTTTGTGCATTGTTGTGATCGGTATATTTTATTTATGACCAATCTTCGTCCATTTATTTGGACAAATAAAATCATGAAAATTTTTGATACAATATTCCATCTGAATCGCTAGAAAGATTTCTTCTTTCGTTTAAATCAAGTGCAACTCGACTAACAAATTACATAATTACACACCACAACGGAACACAAGACAATATCATATAGTTGTCGGTATTACACTTAACAAATAATGAAAGAAATGATGGATCTTTTACACACTCACAAGAGTTAAAACTCCTTTAACTATTAATAAAAGGGCTTATATTCTAGACTTCTAGTCAAGTACGTTTCCATTTTAAGTAAGGAATATGAATGTATATCTTTTGTACTAAAGCTGCACGAAAATATATTGGACTAGCAAGCTACGCGGGCTCGTTTGGTAGGGTGTATAAAAATAATGTTGAATAAGGTGTATTAGTAATGAGTGTATTAGTAATGTATGAGTTAGTAATGCAAGCATTAGTTATGCACATATTACTTCTTATCCACTGTTTGACGTGGTGTATTAAAAGTTAAAATACATTGCATAATTTTTAAGAAAATTAGTTGTTTACAAAAATGCCCTCCATATTCTTTAGCTTCAAGGGACTTTAAGTACAATTTTGTCTTTAACTATGTGAATGCATGCATTAATAGCCTTGGTATTGCTAATACCATAATTATACTTAGGATAATACCAAATAGGTTATATAACTAATACCCGCATTAGTAATACATAGGTTGAAAAAGGAATTAGTAATACCAAAAGCTAATGCATGCATTATTTTCTCTAAATACATTTTACAAAACGACCCCTAATAGCCTGTTTGACCAAACTTCTAAAATCAGCTTAATTTGAGAAGTGTTTTTCTCAAAAGCACTTTTCAAAAAAGTGCTTTGGTGAGAAGCAGTTTGCACCAAAAGCTAATGCATGCATTATTTTCTCTAAATGCATTCTACAAAACGACCCATAATAGGTTGTTTGGCTAAACTTGTAAAATCAACTTATTTTGAGAAGTGTTTTTCTCAAAAGTACTTTTCAAAAAAGTGCTTTTGGTGAGAAACATTTTGTATTTTGCTAATTAATTTGAAAAACACTTTTGGGCAGTAATTAATGTTTGGTTAATCTTTTGAAAATTGCTTTTAAGTGTATTTTTCTCAAAAGTGCTTCTCAGAAAAGTACTTTTGGATAGAAATTAATTTTTTTTGCTTCTCAAAAGTTGTTTCTACTTCTCAAAAATATTTTTTTCTATCTAAAAGTTTGGCCAAACACCTCAATTTTTGGGCCAAAAAAATACTTTTGGGAGCTTGACCAAAGAGGCTATAAGTGTATAACAAGTAATCACAGTCCGTACCCGGAACGGAACAATCAAGTACCGACTTACTAACGACCCGCGCTCGTGTACAAGTACAAAAACAGCCCCACTCTTTCTCCTAATCTCTTATTTCCATAAAGAGTATTATTGTCTTAATACCTCCTTTCTGTGCCCTAAAGATCCATTTACTCTACTGGATCAGAAATCGGAGCCCGCCATCTTTATTCGCATATTCTTCCCCCTTAACGTCTCTCCTACTCCTATCTAGGGTTAGGGTTAGGGTTAGGGTTTGGTTTCTAAAATTTTCTTCTCCTTTGGTCAAGTTCTCGATTTTAGTTTCACTGAATTTAGTACTTGTAATTGTGAAAGTAAATTGAGGGGAATTTGAGATTCCCATAGCAATGGGAGTTCCAGCATTTTACCGATGGTTAGCTGAGAAGTATCAAATGGTTATTGTGGATGTGATAGAAGAAGATGCCGTTGTTATTGAAGGCGTGAAAATTCCAGTGGATACGAGTAAACCTAATCCTAACAAAATTGAATATGATAATCTGTACCTTGATATGAATGGTATCATCCATCCATGTTTTCACCCTGAAGACAGAGTACGTTTTTTAACTCTTGATTTTTATTAAGTTAATTTTTCGTTAAATTCTATAGCTAGTTTATTTGGGTTTAAAATTTCGGTAATAAAGTTGATAGTTTGCTTGTTGTGATTTCGAATTGTTTTTGAATGTTTGTACAATTGACTAGCAATGTGGGTACATTATGTATGGCCTGTTTTTTGTTCAATAATTCATTTAAAAACAGGAAGAATTTTGCTCCCAGGTGCACCTAAGGGTGTGATCTAGTGGTCTATGAAGTGGGAGCAGAACCACGAGGACACTCAGGTTTGGATCCCAGCGGAGGCCAAAAACGCTACGCAATATCTTCCCATCTGCATATGCTTGGTGGACATTTACCCGGTACCTGCTGGTGGGAGATAGCAGGTCCCCGGTTGAGTAGTCGAGGTACAGCACAAGCTGGCCCAGAAACCACCATCATAAAAAAAAGGCCAAAATTTGTAGTTTCTGAGTGTAAGGAACAAGAAGGAAATTTAAAGCTTTTTGGTAGGTAATACGAGAGATTGCTTTTTTGTTATTTTAACTTGGAAGCATGACGATGTCTGTCAACTTTTTCTGCTGTAATAAAATGCTAAAGAAGTGGCTCTTAGCTGAGTCAAGAACTTTGGGACGAGCAATGTCTTCTCAATGTATATATGCCTTTTAAATAAAATAAGCTGTTTATGTAGATATATCCTGTTGGTGGCGGAAAGATGCATTGCTGGCAGTAGGTTGAGGCCACCGTAAAAATAGTAAAACAAGATTTATATAGTGGACCCGAGATAATTTGGGATTGAGCCATATATTGATTGATTGTTTGAAAGGATCAATTTCATTTTACTTTAGAACATGCTTGTGTATTACATTATAGAAAAAACACGCCTGTGTATTAATCTAGAAGATTCTATTTAAATGAAAAATGTCAAAATGGAGATTTCTCACTGCTTTGCTGCTATTTTCCTATCCATTTTAGCATGGATCATATTAATTTTTGTAGCAAGAATGTATATAGAGAAAGAGTCTGGTGTTGCAAAAGGATGTGTCCATTCTGGACTTCTTTTTTCCAGTCAGAGGCTAATAGAGTTGGCCAGTTTTTGTTCAAAGAAACAAATGTTTTCATAGAAAATGAGTTTGGGCACGCCTTTCTTAGTTTTCTACTGCTTTAATGTTGCAGGTGAGAGCTTTTCTAGGGAGAAACCTATCTACTTTCACAATAGCTTTTAGACGTATAGAAGTTGATAGAAGCTTTTGTTGTGGAACACGACGGCTTTTATTTTGTCAAAACTCTGTCTATATTTATAATTATAAATTTCTGGACTGCCTGCGTCAATTGGTTCGTTCCCCTTTGGATGTTGTATTTGAACTACAGAATTTGTCCTAATATCCATCCCTCTATCCTGTTTTAATTAAAGGGGAAATATAAAAAGAGGGTGGGAAAGTTGTGCTAGTTTATGGCCAATTTTGAATCATATTGGACGATGCTGGCCTTTTGGTTTATGCCTGTGTGATGATTGATGTGTATGCTACTTTTATCTCTTCTGCATTGTCTTCTAGCTTACTATACTTTCTTATGCAGCCATCTCCAACGACATTTGAGGAGGTCTTTCAGTGCATGTTTGACTACATAGACAGGCTTTTCTCTATGGTGCGTCCTCGAAAGCTGCTATATATGGCTATTGGTGGGTAATAAGGTCGAAATGCCTTTTAATGATAGTATGGATGATGTATTTAGGTTAAAATGTATTTCAGAACAGGAAGCTGGATGATGGAAAAGAAAAATCTTCTCAAAATTTTGTAAATAGGAAATAAAGGAAAATGGTATTGCAAAAGGGATTTAACATGCATGTTAATTCACTTCTTAAAACCGATTTCCTACTTCTAAGATCATAACCCCTCTACAGGTTTGAATTATGTCTCATTTTTCATCATAAAAAAAATTCATCAAATTATGTCTCATATTCATAGTTTCGACATGTATATACATACGTGCACACATTCCATTTCTAATATTTTGATATTCCTCACAGTTAATCGTTGTATTTAACATATTTATAAGTCGATTGTTCTATTTCAGTTCTAATTATTGACTGATATCTGTGGTAGATGGTGTTGCACCTAGGGCAAAAATGAATCAGCAGAGATCTAGACGTTTTAGAGCAGCAAAAGATGCAGCAGATGCGGTACATGCACTATTGAATTTCTCTAGGGATATATTGTCAACTTCGAAATGTTTTATGGTTCTATCTCATGGAGTCTTTTTTAGGCAGCCGAGGAGGCAAAGCTGCGGGAGGAATTCGAGAGAGAGGGCAGGAAACTTCCCCCTAAACAAGAATCACAAGTTTTTGATTCAAATGTTATCACTCCTGGGACTCCATTCATGGGCACATTATCAATCGCTCTTCAGTACTACATTCATCTTAGACTAAACCATGATCCAGGATGGAAAAACGTTAAGGTATCCTTGATGCAAATCCTTTCTGTTTCTAGTTTTCATTGTCTGTTTTCTCTGAGTACTCTTTTGTGTTTGCCCTGTCTATGATGTTGAACTTATTCCGTGCTTATTATTTCAACTACTGTTTGAAGGTTATACTGTCTGATGCAAATGTTCCTGGTGAGGGGGAGCATAAAATTATGTCCTATATTCGCCTTCAAAGAAATCTTCCTGGTTATGACCCAAATACACGCCATTGTCTTTATGGTTTGGTATGTCTTATCTTTTGAATTACTTGCAATTTGTATTCAGAACTCTTCTCTATGATTTCTTGAAGTTAATGTTAGATAACTTACATATCTGATTCTGGTTTCACATGACAGGATGCAGATCTAATCATGTTGGGTTTGGCTACTCATGAAGTTCACTTCTCGATACTCAGAGAGGTTTAATGTTCGACTTGTTTATGTTCTCTAGTTACACATGTGAACATTTTGGTTTTAAATGATTTTGAAAAGAAAACTGGAGTTTTTCTGTTCACAAAGAACCCTATTTTTTATAAGGGTTCACAAAGAACCCTCGCGTAACCTCATTGTTCTTAAAATTGTTGATGTTGTTTCTGGTTCTTCTTCAGCATAACATTTTGTCATATTACGAATCTCTTTTTAGAAGTCGTATGCTCTGTATTTTACTTTGCCTCTTATTTGACGAATCTTGCATCTCCGTGTCAGGTTGTATTTACTCCAGGTCAGCAGGATAAGTGTTTCCTTTGTGGTCAAATGGGTCATTTAGCTGCAGATTGCGAAGGAAAGGCAAAACGAAAAGCAGGAGAATTTGATGAGAAAGGCGATGCTGAGGTTGTGGCAAAAAAACCTTTCCAGGTAACATTTGAGTTTTCTGTGTACGAAAAATAGATTTTTAAGTTGTTATTTACTAGTAATATCTGGAATTCGCTTTCCTAATCTTGTGCATCTGTTGCAGTTCCTCAACATATGGACTTTGCGGGAGTATTTAGAATATGATATGAGAATTCCGAATCCTCCATTTGAGATTGATCTTGAGCGGATCATTGATGACTTCATATTTATTTGTTTCTTTGTTGGCAATGATTTTCTCCCACATATGCCTACACTTGAGATCCGTGAGGTCTGTACTTTCTGGATTTGGTTTCCCTTGTTTTCTATATCTTATAGTTGTGCGTTGCCCCCGAACTGTACTTGTGACTAGCTAAACAAAGAAGTAAAATAAAACCAAGCTTTATATTGTACACTTGCCACGAAAAAAGATTTGTATCATGCGGTGTTGTCTATCTCTTTTGTTGAGCCAATGATTTGTTTCATTTTGAAAACTAAACTTAAGATTTTGATTCAAAGATTCTGAGTGCTAACTTTGATGGAAAGATCAACTAGTGATCTTTCAATAGGTAAGAGATGGTCTGTGGTGAATACATTTTGGGGAAAAATGGTCACAGGAATTCCTCCATTTTGCTTAGTAGATCTTAATAGCCTAATGTTGCGATAATGATATGTTGATTGGCCTTGAAGGAGAAACTGTGAAAATGATAAGAGGAATAGATGACATAAATTATTATTTATCATCACACGTGTGTGTGACTGATTTATATGAAAGGAACACGTGTTAACCTTTTCATTTAGATGAAAAGCTAGCTTAGGAGCATTTATGTATTAAATGGTGCTACATGCCTCTAGAATAGGCAAAGCATGGCGTTGCTTTGAGCCCCCCNCCTGTTTTAGCTCATGGCAGGCCACTGATTAATCACTTCTCTTTCTGTTTCCCCTCTTCAGCTAGATAACATGAACTTATAATTTTTCTTGATGTTTTGTTTTGGAGAATTTGTTTGATGTATATTCTTACTGGAATGCAGTAATAAGGTCTCTATCCCCTTAGAATCCTTAGAATTGTCTATTGAATTTTTTTTGGGAAAATTGTGCTATGATTTTCTTCATTTTTGTTTATATTCCTCCTGTTCAGGGTGCAATAAACTTGTTGCTGGCTGTTTATAAGAAGGAGTTTAAGTCTATGGGGGGTATCTAACCGATGGTAGCCAGGTATTTGATTGTTTGCCAAAGGCTCACAGATCTAAATATTTCCTGGTTAAAATCCATGTACCAAGTTATTCTTGGAACTTTTACTTATATCTAACCGATGGTAGCCAGGTATTTGATTGTTTGCCAAAGGCTCACAGATCTAAATATTTCCTGGTTAAAATCCATGTACCGAGTTATTCTTGGAACTTTTACTTATATATGTGATTTGATTCTTTTGCTACTTTTCCAGCCAAATCTTAGCAGGGTGGAGCATTTTATTCAGGCTGTGGGATCGTATGAAGATAAGATATTCCAGAAAAGAGCTCGCTTACATCAGGTCTGCTCTTGTCTGACCATTCATTGCATTTTCTTCGGAACTTAAAAAAAGAACCTACCTTCATTGCCTTCAGTTCATTGCAGAACATTTTCTTTTGATTTTGAACTTGAGTAGTATCTTAACATGAAAAGGTTAACTTGCTGCTCTGTCCTGTTTCCGTTCATCAATTAAGAAATTGATAATGAGAAGAGGACAAAAAAGAGGAAAGGAGAGTGGAATTTCTTGGGACTTGGGATTCATGATCTGTGAAAAACCCTTGTAGCATTGTTAGTGGCACTAATTTATTTTTCAAAATGTTGTAAATTTAGTGGCAACTTTACTACTAGCTTCAATACAGAATTACCATTATTCAAAGTGGTATTCTACAATTAAACCTTTCTATTCTATTCTAGTGCACAATCTTCGTTGAAATGATGCTTTCGATCATTTTTTGTTCTCAAGCTCTCTAAAGTATCCTCGCTTGTAGCTAGGACTTTGTCCTTTTGATTGCTTGCTAGTCACATTATCTATTAAAATAGGTACTTTTGAGTGCCGGCCTCCTATTGCATGTAACTGGGACCTACAGTTCACTTTTATGTGGTTTTATTTCTTCCAGAGACAATCTGAGAGAATCAAGCGTGAAAAGGCACAGTCAAAAAGAGGAGATGACTCCGCTCCTCAAGCTGAACCTGAATCTTTGGTTCCAGTTGCTCGGTTTGGTGGTTCGCGGCTTGCTTCAGGTCCTTCGCCTTCTCCCTATCAACCGGGGGGAACTTCAAGACGTGACCAACTTCGGCATGGCACATCAAGTCTTTCCATCCTTGACATTCAGAGCGAGCACTCTGGGACTGTTGATGAAAAAGGATCTGTTGTTAGTGCCAAAAAAGTTGCACGTTTGAGTTCTGGGGCCACGATAGGAGCTGCAATTGTTGAAGCTGAGAATAGCCTTGAAATAGAAGTATGTTTTCCTTCTTAGGCAGAGGCATTTTTAATGTAATTCTTAGTCCAGCCATTCTTTAGGACTAACTAGTATCTGATTGACTTAGCTTTGTTTAGCTGTCTTATAGGAGTGTATAATGTTATACCGTTATTTGACCTTTTGGTCTTGATTTTCTGTATGTATTGCTTTCATTCCTTTGACATTTTTGAATATCATCTAACATAATTTTTTTGGTTGTGACATCAGGTATTAGAAAACAAAGAAGACCTGAAAACAAAACTAAACAAGTTGATCCGTGAGAAGAATGACGTTTTTAATTCAGAGCATCCTGAGGAAGACAAGGTGCGAAAATAACATATTTCCCATAAGCTTTTACGGACTTTAAGGTCAAGTTGGTAGTAGCATAAGGGCTGGAAGTGATCCAACAACAACAACGACCCGGTGAGATCCCACTAGTGGGGTCTGAGGAGGGTAGTGTGTACGTAGACTTTACCCCTACCCCGATGGGGTAGAGATGCGGTTTCCGAAAGACCCTCGGCCCAAGAAGACGAAAAGAGGCAATACATTAGTACCATCAATAGAAACCATGAAACGAATAACATCACCAAAACTAGAAAATAGATAAACAACAAAACAATAACCAATAGATAAAGTACGACAGTAAGGGGAACCAATAGATAAACTTCTTAGGCCGCCCTCTTCCTCTCCTCGTACCTACCAAAGCCAGCCGCTCACACCTCCTCACCGGCGCATCTAGGCTTCTCCTCTGAACCCTACCTTACAACCTTAATGCTCGACCTCCACAACTTCCTGTCTAGGACCATGTCCTCGGTAATATGAAGCCACACCATGTCCTGCCTGATCACCTCTCCCCAATACTTCTTAGGCCGCCCTCTTCCTCTACTCGTACCCACCAAAGCCAGCCGCTCACACCTCCTCACCGGCGCATCTGGGCTTCTCCTCTGAACGTGCCCTAACCATCTGAGCCTTGCTTCCCGCAACTTGTCATCCATGGGGGCCACTCCTACTTCTCCTGGATATATTCATTCCTAATCTTATTGATCTTAGTATGCCCGCACATCCACCTCAACATCCTCATTTCAGCTACTTTCATCTTCTGGATATGTGAGTTCTTAACTGGCCAACACTCAGCCCCATACAACATGGCTGGTCTAACCACCGCTCTATAAAATTTACCTTTGAGGATCGGTGGCACTTTCTTGTCACACAGGACTCCAGACGCTAACCTTCACTTCATCAACCACACACCTATACAGTATACGGTGTGTGACATCCTGTCGATCTCCCCTGAATTACCGACCCGAGGTACTTGAAACTGTCCCTCTTGGGGATGACATGTGATTCAAGCCTAACGTCCAATCCCACTTTCGTCGGCCAAGAGTTTAGGAAAAGAAATTTTACTTAAAGCTGCTATTTTGGTCGCATTATAAGATATATGGCTCTTGGAAAATGCTACTCCATGTGTCATTTTTAAAATCCACTTACTATTTATGTAGTTAAACAATTGGATTTTTTGAGTTTTGGAGTTGATAATGTATAACATGTGTGATGTAATTCAAAACCAATAATTTTGATTTTATGAGAACGATGTTAATCATTGTTCCATTCTTATACTGAATTTGTAAAGTTAACCCACATCAAGTTAATGCAGCATAGAGGGAATAGCAGGTTTAATTGCAGAGTCTCACTAGTCAAGGCTTTTTAGTCAAGTTTTACATGTCTATTAATGAGATTTCCAGTCAAGCCTATACCAATTGCCAAATTCTTAGCTATAATATACAAGTCAGAAAGTGATGCATTTGGCGCATGTAGGGCCCGAAAAACCAAAGCTAACAAGCGTCAGCATGATGTGCTTTTCAAGTTTGTCTGGAAGTTGATCTGCAGAAGAAGCCTTAGAATCAGTTTAGTGTAGAAAATCGTTAAAATGGCTGTGTTGGTGAATTAATATGGTAAATGCAAGATATGCTGGATTCACTGTTTGACATCATGCGGTCCTTGTAAGAAGAACAAGGGCATACTTGTGTCTTTTGAAATTGTAATATGGCTATTACACACCCTTTGTGCTAAAACATATATATGAGATAGTTACCTCTCTCAAAAATGCATGATATGCTAGAGTGATCTAGCTATACGTATTTCCATAAGAATACATGATGGTAATCACTTTTGTCTTATTGAAAAATTTAAAAGCACTGCTGCGAAATGCTCTGAGAGTATGATGATTATCAAGATTACATGAAAGTAGATGTCTTCCACCTAAGTACCTAAGATTCTGATCACGGAATGCTTGGAAGGCATTTTAACGGTTATTAAATAAGAGCCCCAATGCCAGACAGCCCAACTAAGGCTGTTTTTTTCCTTTCAATTTAGATCTTGGGAACTTATAATTCTTGATATTTTTTAAAATGACTACAAGTCAATTGGTGCAATTTGATATTGTTGTCATTTACAGATTTATATTGAACCGCTATCTGATTTGTTTTTACAGATCAAACTGGGAGTGCCAGGGTGGAAGGAAAGGTATTATGAGGAAAAATTTTCTGCGAAGACACCTGAGGAGATGGAAGAAGTACGGAAGGACGTTGTAAGTTATCTGAAACTTGAGTAGCATCTTTATTGATGAAGGTAAAACATTTGGATGGTTGGAACTTTAGAACTCGACATCTTTGATTAGATAATCTGGTGTATTCTGAGTTAAACATGGTGCATATGTAGCTCAATTTACTTTTAGATATCAGAATATCCGATTCTTTTGAGCTATTTTTCCACGTGAGAGGCGCACTCTGATGGCTTTTATAGTATTAGATGGGTCTCGAATAGATCAATGCCTGGTAGTTTCTAGATTCCCCGATGCTATATTTAGACTCAACAATGATAGCGGGGCCTAAAATGACTGCACGCTTCAGCTCTCGAGGCTAAAATCCATGGATTGTTTTCTCAAAGAATTATTGGCTGTCTTAGGCAATTGAGCAAGGTTTAGTTTTGTTATACATCTGCATCCATAAGAAGGTGATTTCAGTCTCATCTTAACTTGGTTTTCATCTTATTAGGTCTTGAAATACACAGAAGGGCTGTGCTGGGTTATGCACTATTATTATGAAGGCGTTTGTTCCTGGCAATGGTAAATTCTCCCTTTGTGATGCTGGAGTTTTTTCGTGCGTGCATGTGGATCTATGATATCACATGAATGATGTGCTAACTAATATCATTGTGCATAGGTCTTTGCATAATATGTTAAGTTCTGTCCACATTTGCTGGTCATATTTTGTTATAGTTGACAGTTTAATCTTTTACTTAACATGCTATGTTTTGTGCTTCATGTTTCCATGGAGAATGTTTTTTCTTATTCTTTTTCTGCTTTAAACACTGGAACGATCATTGTGCTAGAGATCAAAGATGATATGGACATTGATAAGATCAAACGTGCTGTGCAAAACACTTGTTGTGTTCCCGGTTTCATTGCTTATGTTTTTCCACTGCAGGTTTTATCCTTATCATTATGCTCCTTTTGCTTCTGACCTCAAGGATCTTGGGGAGTTGAATATCACCTTTGAACTAGGTTCTCCATTCAAACCATTCAATCAGCTGTTAGGAGTTTTTCCTGCTGCCAGGTTTATACCTCACTTTTTGTGTTTTCAAACTATGTCTTCCTTGAGGGTGCTAACTAGTTTTATATGCAGTGCACATGCTCTTCCTGTACAGTACAGGCAATTGATGACAGACCCAAACTCGCCCATTATTGATTTCTATCCTACTGGTACGGCGTTTTGTTTTTCATTTTGAAGTAATGATTGTAAATCTGTTAAACTACTTAATTATATAGGATGACATGTATCTCATTTGCCGGTATAGTGTCTTGCTTAAAGTTCTCTCTCTAATTGAAATCTCATACCTTAATGTTGTTGACAGATTTTGAGGTGGACATGAATGGGAAGCGCTTTTCATGGCAGGTACTTGTTAAATTAATTTTCTTAAGAACAGTATTCTCATATTTTTGTACTGACATCTTTCTTAATGTGAAGGGTATTGCCAAGCTACCTTTCATTGATGAAGTCCGGCTCCTTGCAGAGGTTGCAAAAGTCGAACATACCTTGACGGAGGAAGAAGCACGAAGAAATAGTGTGATGAATGATATGCTTTTTGTATCATTATCTCACCCTTTATCTCCATACATTTTTTCTCTTGATGATCGTTGTAAGCAGCTTACAGACTATGAACGTGTTGAAGTCAAGGAGCGCTTGGACCCAAAATCAAGGTTTGTTTTGCTACATGACCTATGTGTAAATGAACTGCCTATTAATTTGGACTTTGAAGGACATTAACTGAAGTTGAAAAGAAAATGTTGCTGAAAATGAAAATTCAGAGCATTTCTTGGTGAAGAAAACAGGGATGTTAGGTTGCAAGGCCGCAATTAGCCCAATAGAAGAAAATCTTTAAATTTGGCATCTCATTTTTCAATTTTCTGTGGAGGTGTATTGATATCCAAATTCTGCTCATCTTGCCCTGCTCATCCCAGTATCTGGATTATCTACGAAACCCATCTGTTCCTTACTACCGTGTTTATAAAATTTGTGAATTTAGAATCTTAAATCATCTACCAGGATATTTGGAAACAATTGCTGCTTCCCCTCATACACAGGAACATGTATTGAGTGATTCCTTAAATGTTACTCACCCTTTATGTTTTCATCTTCTTGAGCCGAGGGTCTATCGGAAACAGCCTCTCTACTCCTCCGGAGTAGGGGTAAGGTCCGAGTACACGCTACCCTCCCCAGACCCCACTCGTGGGATTCCGTTGGGTTGTTGTTGTTACTCACCCTTTATGCTGTTGTTCAACTCTTTATCTGGATATTATGTGAAGCTATCTATTCCTTGTGGTATTCTTAAATTTTTTTAATCTTGAATCTTGTTTCATCTACTGGCATATGTGAATTTTGTTTCATCTACTGGTATAAGTGAAGACAATTGATCTTGCTCAAATCACACANCCCTTTTATCGTAATTTGAAGTCTAAGTCTCCGATTTCTGATCTAGGTCCTGCCTTTTCCGTTTTCTAAATGATTCTTCTGTTTGTAGTCTTTTTCTGCATACTAAATCAATATTGTCTATTGTGATAAAACCTAGTTCGATTCTCAATTGTTAAAGTCCTTGGTGGACTCTTCTGATTTATTCTAGCGGTGCATGCAGTGGTGGGATGAATGGCTATATATCCCTTTGCATGGGAGATCCTTGTCCTCCAATATTTAGATCACCTATTGATGGGCTGGAAGATATTATGGACAATCAAGTCATGTAAGAAACCTAGCTATTGACTGCAGCATTTGTATACCAATTGACCAAACTGACCAGCTGTTAGCGTTTTTAAGAAATAATAATTTCTGATCAGCTTTCTCGTTCTTGCATTTTCAGATGTGCAATATACAGACTCCCGGATCCCCATAAGCATATCACACGGCCACCTAAAGGGGTTATTTTCCCAAAGAAGGTAATCCGATGCGAGAGAACCACACTTTATCCCTTCATTTTTGGGGGAGCGGATGGTGGAAGACCATACCGTGCCCTTGACTAGAAGGATATCCTAAGATTTTCTTTGTGAATGCTTCCTCTGTCCCCCATATTCTTTTTTTCCTTGTTAATTTTTCAATAATCAAACCAGCTATTGGTCAAACTGCTTTTTTGATATATTTATTATAATCCCAGATTTGAGTTTCAACGATCACACTAGGATTTAGTCAAAGTCATTTTAGGACTCAATTTTCTTACATACTACGAAATAAAATTTATGGGCAGAAGGAGTCCATGAAAGTGATTTTCCTGAAGCATAATTTAATAAAGGACTGGTATGTTGAGGACAACCTAAAGATGCGTATTCCTGTGCTTTTTTTTTCTTCATGAAAGAGAATCTCATTTCATTATGTAGGGGTAGACAATGGTTGTTTTAAGTATCCTAATGTTCCTAATCATATGTGACTTGTATTGAATTTTTAAAAAAACAGTTGTTTTTTATGTGCCCGTTGTTCAGCCTGTTGAAGTAAAAAACGCCTCCTCCCGAGCGTATAAGTTGCCCTTTCGTTTTCTCACTAATGCTGCTTTGTTACCATGCAGTTGGTCACATTTGGTGATATAAAACCTGATCCCGTGTTGTGGCATGAGGATTCTGGGAGGAAACCTTGGGAAAATGGAAGGTATGTTGCTATATGTTGATTGGATGAAGATGTCGAATGATGCAATCAGTTAGTATGTCTATCTTGTCCATTCGATTTTATGTTGCTGTGTACTTCGTTTCAGGAACCAACACCCTGGCGGAAACTCTGGTCGTCACGTTGGAGAGGCAGCACACAGGCTGGTGGCTAATAGTTTGCAGATGAGGAGCGGTCATGGTGATTATGCACGTGCTCAACCTGCAGCATATCCTGCTACACATGGTCCTTTTCCTTCCTCTCACAGATACAATGGTCAGGAACATGTTCGGGCTAGTTTTGGGTATTCCGCTCGAGATGACACAGCTGCGCCGTATCACTATGATCATAGTTATAACCAATCTTATGTCCCAGCTGCTGTTGATCCTTATAGTAGGCCGCCTCCTCTGTATGAGAGGGGTGGCCGACCTGTCCCTCCCAGCGGGGATTATCATAGACATGGACATCACAGTGCTGTGGTGACGCAAAATGTTGGATATGGTTATTCCTCTCATGCCACTCGTGCGCAGTATGTCAGCCAAACACCAATACCACCCGTTGCTCATTTTCACCAGCAGCAGAGTGGATATGACAATTACACGAGTTATCAACCTTATGTGGCAGGAAGCTATAACCAACTGGGTGGTGGATGGACCCCTCAAGGTAGCCAAAATGTTGCTCGAGGGTATAGTAATCCACGTCCTTCCAGTAATCACTTCTCGGCGTTGGGAAGAGGAAGAGATAGAAGGCCCCCATCTTCAGGCCATAACCGTTAAAGGTGTCATCATCTTAGCTAAGTCGACACAGGACAGAAAAGTCACTGCTGCAAAGAAGGGAGAAACTTGCAAGTAATGGGTAATTTTCAGACAATATACTTTGGGAAGCATGTAGATGAACAAGAAAAAGAAAATGCAGTTAGAGAACAAACAGATGTTGCTTGTCAATGTGTAAGTTCAGGCGACTTTCTGGTGCTTGTCATCATGGTATTGTTGTACAATATAGATCTCTAGCACAGAACTTTACTGGTATTCTTCTCTTCCTTCCAATATTAGATGTAGTTGAGCTTCATTTATTTGAAAAATTACATTGTATTCCATAAAGGTAAATGTTAGATGAATAAAGGTGATGTAATTTTCTCATGAACTTTGAGCTTTATTTGTATTGTCCTTTCTATTTTGGTTTATTGAGAGAAACTATGATATAATATTCTTTCCTATGCATCGAAAATTTGGAAATCAGCCACAATTTCAGTCTTTTGGCCCAAAAATAGAGGAACTATTATGCCGAAGTCATGATTATTGTTCATTAGCTTATTTTTTATGGCCCCACAAAATTTTAGGCGATTCTGATTCGGTAGCTCGGATTCATTCAGATAGTGTGAACTATAGCATTGGAAAATTTGGATATCAGCCCGAATTTTATTTTTTTTGGCCCTAAAATGCCAAAAAACGAGGAATGGTAATGCAGAAACCATGGCTATTGTTCATAGGACATTTTTGATAACCCCATAAAATTTTAGCCGATTTGGATCTGGCAGTCCAAATTCATGCAAATAGCGTTGGCTATATATCACACGGAGATTTGGAAATCAGCCTGAATTTTAGTTTTTTGGCACTAAAATACAAAAATGAAAAACGGTCATATCGAAGCCATGACTATTTGTTCATTAGGTCATTTTTATGGCCCCACAAAATTTTAGACGATTCAGATCCGGTAGGCTACTATAGCACATGAAAATTTAAAATCGGCCTGAATTTCAAATTGTTGGCCCTAAAATACCAAAAAACGAGCAACGGTCATGCCGAAACCATGACTATCGTTCATAAGGTCATTTTTATGGCATCGCAAAATTTTAGACTATTCGGATCCGTTAGCCTGGATTCATGCAGATGGCGTGGTATAACACACGAAAATTATTCATTAGATCATTTCATATGTCCCCGCAAAATATTAGGCGACTCGGTCCGGTAGTCCGGAGTCATGCAGATGGCGTACGAATTTCATTTTCCCCCTAAATTGACAAAAAATGAGGAACGATCATGCTGAAATCATGAATATTGTTCATTAGGTCTATTTGATGGACCCGCAAAATTTTAGGCGATTCATATCGGTAGCCCGTAGCAAAGAGGAAGTCGTGCAAGCAAGCGAAGTACCTATATCGAAGAGACCAGACCTTGGGAAGGCATCACCTATGCTAGAAGGTTTAACAGTCCTCCTTATTAGCAGCCTAGATCTGTTTTGTGCTCGCCTTGATGCTATCTCAAATGTCCATTCAAAAAGAGCTATTGGGGATTCATACAGATGGCGTGAACTATAGCACACGAAAATTTAAAAATCGACCCGAATTTTATTTTTTGGCCAGAAATGCCAAAAAACGAGGAATGATCATGCTGAAACCACGACTATTGTTCATTAGGTCATTTCTTATGGCCGTGGAAAATACACAAATTTGGAAATTGGGTAGAATTTCAGTTTTTTTGGCCCTAAAATACCAAAGAAGAGGAACGATTATGCCGAAACTATGAATATTATTCATTAGGTCATTGTTGATGGTCGCGCAAAATTTTAGGCGATTCTGATCCGGTAGCCCAGATTCATGAAGATAGTGTGGATTATAGCACAAGAAAATTTTGAAATCGGTTAGAATTCTTAATTTTTGGCAATAAAATGTCAAAAAACAAGAAACGGTCTTGCCGAAGCCATGACTATTGTTCATTAGATCATTTTTACGGCCCCGTAAATTTTTAGCCGATTTGGATCCGGTAGTCTGGATTCATGCACATGGAATGGACTATATATCACACAAAAATTTAGAAATCGGCTCGAATTCCAGTTTTTCACCCTAAAATGCTAAAACACGAGGAACGGTTATGCCGAAGTCATGACTAGGTTCATTAGGTCATTTTTTATGGTCCCGCAAAATTTTAGGCGATTCGGATCCGGTAGCCCGGATTCATGCATATGGCGTGGACTAAAGCACACAAAAATTTAGAAATCAGCCAGAATTTCATATTTTGGCCCTAAAATGCCAAAACAGAGGAACGATCATGTAGAAGCCATACTATTGTTCATTAGGTAAAATTTGATGCCTCCCCCAAAATTTTAGGCAATTCGGATCCGGTAGCACAGATTCATGCACATGACATAGACTATAGCGCACAAAATTTTAAAATCGACATGAATTCTAGTTTTTTGGCCCTAAAATTCCAAAAACGAGGAACGGTCATACCGAAACCATGCCTATTATTCATTAGGTCATTTTTATGTCCCCGAAAATTTTTAGGCGATTAAGATCCGGTAGTCCGGATTCATGCAAATGGCATGGACTATATAGCACACGAAAAATTAAAAATCAACCCGAATTCCAACTTTTGGCCCTAAAATGCCAAAAAAGAGGAACGGTCTTGCCGAAACTATGACTATTGTTCATTATGTGGTTTTTTATGGACCCGCTAAATTTTAGGCAAATCAGATCCGGTAGTCCGGATTTATGCGGATGACGTGAACTCTATCTCACGAAAATTTAGAAATCGGTCTGAATTTAAGTTTTTTTTGCCCTAAAATGCCTAAAAATGAGGAGCGGTCATGCTGAAACCATGACTAATGTTTATTAGGTCAATTTTGATGACCCCGCAAAATTTAGGCGATTCAGATATGGTAGCCAGATTCATACAAATGGCGTAGAGTATAGCATACGAAAATTTAAAAATCGGCCCGAATTTCGGTCTTTTTGGGCCAAAATGCCCAAAAGGAGGAACGGTCATGCCAAACCCATAACTATTGTTCATTAGGTATTTTTTAACGCCTTCGCAAAATTTTAGGTGATTCGGATCCGGTTGCCGGATTAATGCAGATAGCATGGAGCACACAAAAATTTGAAAATCGACCCAAATTTTAACTTTTTGCCCAAAAATGCCAAAAATCGAGGAATGGTCATGCCAAATATTAGGCGATTCAGACCGAATTCATGAAGATGGTGCGGACATTGGCACACGAAACATTAGAAATCGTCTTTAATTCCTATTTTATGGCCCTAAAACGCTAGAAAATGAGTAACGATCATGACGAAGCAATGATTATTGTTTATGCGCTAATCTGTAATTATCGAATAAACAATAATCATTGCTTCGGCATGACCATTCCTTATTTTTTGGTATTTTAGGGCCCATAAATTGGAATTCAGGCTGATTTCTAAATATTCGTGTGTTATAGTCTACGCCATATGCATGAATCAGAGCTACAAGATCCGAATCACCTTAAATTTTGTGGGGCTCCAATAAATGACCTAATGAACAATAGTCATGGCTTCGGCATGATCATTCCTCTTTTTTTGGCGTTTTAGGGTAAAAACTGTAATTCAGGCCGATTTTTAAATTTTCGTGTGCTATAGTTAGAGGTGTACAAAGAAAATCGATAAACCGCACCAAATCGATAATTCGAGTCAAACCGGAAAAAATTCCTATGTGGTTTGGTTTGATTTTGTTTGATATTGGAAAATAAAACCCGACCATAATTGGTTTGATTTGGTTTCAAATTAAAAAATTCAAACCGAAATCAAACCAACCCGATAGTACATTTATATAATTTTTAAAAATATTTTATACGTATAAATATTTATTGTAATGTAATTTATAAATATTTCTTAAACTTTTTTATAGTTTTATCTTTTAACGTATTATTTCAAGTTTAGACTTAACATTCTTGAGTGGTAAATAAATTTTAAAACCCATAAATGTAGTAACTCAAACAAAGTTCAAATCAATACTAATGCTAACAAAAGAAATTCAATTTAATACTAGGAATGACGATAGTGTTAGATAATCATTTTAGTTTTACATTGGTTTATAATGAAAATATATAACTTAGTTTATCTTTTTTTAGTGCTTAGTTATGTAATTAATATTAGTACTTATTTGCTATACTTATTTTGGCATGACCTATATAGTATTTTTAGATTATGTTAATTTTCATTATAGTTTATTAATTAGCAATGTTGTTTTATGTAATTTTATTATTTTATCTTTGTTATTGAATATTTTAGTATAATGCTATGACTTATCTCATATTATTGTGTTAGTTTCTTGGAAAATATATTATATACTTGTATTTTAGTAGGACTTAAGAAATATTAGGAGCACAAGTTACATATTTTATGCTATGAAGACTTTACTGAAAAAAACCCCGAAAACCCGAAAAAATTCGAAAATCAGATAAAAACCGAGATTGAAAAACCCGATTGTATTGGTTTGGTTTATAAATTTAAAAATCCGACACCATTGGTTTTGTTTGATAATTGAAAAATTCGAACCAACCCGACCTATGTACATTCCTAGCTATAGTCCACGTCATCTGCATGAATCTGAACTACCGGATACAAATCGCTTAAAATTTTACGAGGCCATCAAAAATAACCTAATAAACATTAAACATGGCTTCAGCATGACCGTTCCTCTTTTCTTTGGCATTTTAGAGCCAAAAAATAGAATCCGGGCCAATTTCTAAATTTGTGTATGAATCCGGGCTATCAAATCCAAATCACCTAAAATTTGCGGGGCCATAAAAAATGACCTAATGAACAATAGTCATGGCTTTAGCACGACCGTTCCTAAAATATGTAATTCAATTTCAAATTTTCATGTGTTATAGTCTAGTCCATTTGCATGAATCCAGGTTACGAAAGTCGAATCGCGTAAAATTTTGATATGCCATAAAAAATGACCTAATGAACAATAGTCATGGCTACCGCATGATCATTCCTCTTTCTTGGCATTTTAGGCCAAAAATAAGAATTCGTGTCGATTTTCAATTTTCGTGTGCTAGTCCATGCCATCTGCATGAATCCGGGTTACTGTATCCGAATCACCAAATATTTTACGGGGTCATAAAAATGACCTATTAAAAAATAGTGAGGGCTTCGGCATGATCGTTCCTCTTTTTTTTGGCGTTTTGGGGATAAACATTTGGAATTCGGGCCGGTTTTTAAAGTAATTTGTGCATAGTCCACACCATTTGCATGAATCTGGGCTGCCGGAACCGAATAGCCAAAATTTTGTGGGGGCCATAAGAATGACCTAATGAACAACAGTCATGGTTTCAACATGATTGTTCCTCATTTTTGGCATTTTAGGACCCAAAAATTAAAATTCGGGCCTATTGCCGAATTTCCGTATTCTAAT